TTTGTTTTTTCTTCTCTTTAGTTCGTTATAGCCTTTTAAAGTTTCCTACCAAAAATCTTTAATTTGAACTTAGACCGTTAAACTAGTTAAGCAGGTATAAGGGTGTCTGTTATATCTATATTTGCTGTAGTTTGAATTAAAAATAAATTATTATTTTAGTAATTGCGTTTAGTTAGTGTTTGATAAAACTGATCTTTAACTACAAAATTATTATATGTAACCATATATCTTTTTTTCTACGTTGTATCTTTTAAATGTAAATTACAAAACTATATTCAATAAAAAAATAATTATATACACAATTAAGCTTTTCAAAACCACTTATTAGGCAAGTTTTTTTTTTATTTAACAAATTACTTTAACCTTTGTGACAAAAAAGTTTTCAATGTATTTTTATTTCTGACTATTTATTCGAGTCGTCTAATATTTAATTGTTATCACAAAAAAGTATTTAAAACTAATATTATATAATGTATAAATTTAACAATACATAACAATCTTTAATTACTATTTTTGGTTAGATTATACTGCATATACTTACCTTATCATATGATCAATGCTATTTATCAAGTACTGTATAAATACTTTCAAAAAACAATTCACAGCATGTAATTCTGTTCTCTTTTACTTACTCAGCTAATAAAAACAATGAAGTCAAATACACATTTTATCTATAAGCCACTTTGTGAGATTCAAAATCATCTTGAACGAGAATGATATTCCAGACAGATATCGTATATACAAGAAGAAATGCCTACTGGTAAACCTTCTAAAAGCCCTTGCGAATAAAAAACTATCTTGCAAGAGAAGCCTGTGCTTGCTGTCATGTAAATGAAACTGTTAAAGAAACTGAACAGTGTCGAAGTATCCAGAGACAAGCTTATGCTAACCGAATTGCAAGACAAACTATCAAAGAGGCAGAATATCATTGAAGTGCCCAAAGACAAGCTTATGCTCACCGTTGTGCTGATGAGAATACTGAACAAAGCGAATTACGCAGAAAAAAGTAAAATGAGACAATTCATAAAGTCTCTAATGCAGCGCGTGATAATAATTATAAT